TCGAGGTTCTGTGGGCTTCCTGCAGAGGACCAGGGACCAAGGGAAAGGGGCAGCGCAGACCCGGGTCCGGCTCGGACCCCTTGTCCCGGCTCCAGGGCTTCCACAAACCTTGCAGATCCCCCCTGGCATTTGCCCGCCACCCCGAGACCGCTCCCTCAGCCTTCCACGGTCCCAGAGAGGCATGGCAAGCCACGTCCAAGTGACATGCCATGGAATGAGCGTTTCGCCACCCACCTCCCGCCCTGGAGACACGCGTGTCTGCACCCGCCAAGATGAGGGCCCTGCTGCCCTCGGGGAGGCCCCAGGCAGGAAGAGTCGAATGTGCCCCGGGGGCGGGGGCAGGGGCGGAGTCTCACCCTCACCCACAGCTGCCGGCCCTCGCCCCCCACCTCCCCGCCGCCCTTCCCCCAAAGCACCCAAGCAGCTGGCCCAAGGCTCCGGCACCTTCCGCGTCCCGTCAGGGGGCGTATCCGAGGAAGGCCCAAGGTTCTGCCCTGGCTCCCTGGCCACTGGTCTCCTCCCATGGGGCCCTTCAAGGCTGGGGACCCTCTGTGGCTGCAGAGCCAACCCTTGCTCCCGAGGGCCACCTGGGAGGCTACAAGGGCACGGCACCCTGGGCCCGCACCTGTGGAGACTCCACGGCCCGGGGCTCAGCCCGGCTCAGTGGGCGGTGGTGGGAGAGAAGGGAAGGCTCAGACCGCCCCCCCTCTCCGGCCCCCTCTCCGGCCCCCGGGGGGAGACTGGGGGCGGCATGGCAGGAGAGGAAGAGGACGGGGAAGCCCGGGCTCCGGTTGCAGAGGCAAACCAGAACCCCAAAGCCACCTGTGGGCTCAGGGCTCGCGCGAGAGAGGCTACTCGGTTGGCCCCAGGGCCTTCCTCTCGCTTCAGCTGGCGGTCCTCTCGCTGAGGAGCTCCAGCTGTCCGTGGGGTCTCCGGAGTCTCCTTGCCGCAGGAGGGCAGAGACCAAGGACCACTCCCTGGCCGCCTTCCGTGTGCCCAGACTGCCCGCCACGCCCAGCCACAGCCCTGGAACCCAGCTCCATCCACAAGGCAGAGAGCAGAGAGTTGCCTTCTGTCTCTGGGTCTGTCTGGCTGTCTCCCTCCACCTCTCCCTCTCGCTCTCTTTCTCTCCGTCTCTCCCTCGACTTCCACGGCTGTCTGTCCAGGTCAGGAGGAGCAGGGGCATCGAGGCAGGTGGCTGCGACACCACGCAGCAGAGCAGGATCAGTCACCGCTCTTTCCGAAGGAACTCAACCCCTCCCGTGGCGACAGGAAAGGGTGTGAAGGCGAGCGAAAGTCAGACGGACAGGACAGCTGACCCGGCCCGCAGAGGTTCTCAAGCCGGCTCTCAAGGCCCACCAAGAGCCCTGCCACCTGCTGCTCCTGCCCAAGTCAGCCTCCCCCGGGGCAGCTGCGCAATTGGCAATGGCTGGAAATGTCTCAGGGTGGTGCTTATGTCCCACAACTAGGTAAAGCGGGGCAGGAAAGAGGGTTTTCTGTCTCTGTAGGCGTACGTGTTGATGGACCCATCAACAGAGAGACAGAGAAAGAGCGCCAGAGACAGACAGAGAGAGAGAGAAAGAAAGAAAGAATAAGGATGTACCACACTCTAGTTAATGGCTACATGGTATTCTATTCTTTGGCTACTTAATCATTTCTTTAACCAGTCCCTTATTCAGGGGCATACAGTTTGTTCCAATCTTGTACTGCTATAAACAACCTGGTATGTGTATCCTGGAACAAATAGCAACAATAAAGCCTGTGTATTTAGCCGATGACAAGCTCACTCCCATGCACTATGAGTGTTCCTAAGACCTGGCATACTGAAGCTCCTGTATGGTATGGGGTGGGGGAGCAGTGGGTTGGCAACACCAAATCTTCCAGATGCACGTGGGTGTCACTGGCCCCAAGGAATCCTGGGAGAATATTGTCTTCCAGAATATAAACATGACCAGCAGAATGCTTTCTTGTAAAGAGAGACCAGTAACGTTTCTGCACATAGAAGTCAGCATTATTATTTGAAAGTTCAGGTCTTTGAATACCGGAGAGAGAGAAAGTAATACCTGTTTATATGTGTTAGATAAACTTAGATACAAGTAAAGAGAACAAATTTAGATTCTGATCACATACAGAAAATTTTAGAGCAAATTGCAAGCTCTCATTTTCAAGCAGCTTCTATGGGGTAAACATTTTACTTAAAGTGAGTAATTTAACCCTCACAATGACCCACAAGGTAGACACTATTATCCTCATTTTAAAAATGAGCAGAGGCCCACAGAGTTACCATACAGTAGTGGCAGAACCGGGAGTATCTCCCTCAAAAGCTGGAGTGTACCTGCTTATTCCAGCCAGCTCTTAGAGGGAGCTGGGTGCACAGCACATTTAGGGTAAAGCCTTTCCTTCTTGTTCCTTCTGTTTCTTCAACTCTGAAATAGGAAAAGTGGTCCAGGATAACCTATCTGTATTATCCGTTTCATTTTCTAGGTGATAATGTCATTTCCATAATAAACTATGTGTTCTAGAATGTGAGAGATGGAAGGAGGTCTTCATTCTGGTGATTCTCACCCTTTACATCCTCCAGGACCCCTGTCATTATCCCTGCCTGTGAAATACATGTTTGTAGAACATACTAAGTAACCTAGTATGTTTACTTTTGGCCATTTTTACTGGTCACATATGTATATGGTTCTGGTTACCTGATTTAAATGGTATTATCTCTACAAAACTACTTACGTTCAAATGCTTCGTTAGCTCATCCCATTCATCTGTAATGTCAGTAAATGTGCATTTTCATTAAGGTTTTGGAAATATTAGCTAATATATTAGTTTTATCAAGCATAGCATCCTCAGGCAGAGAGGAAGGGTTTTTCCACAGTGGCATCTAATTTCATAGCTTTCTGACAGCTGCCTCTCTGTCCTTCCACTCTTTAAGGCTGAAAATCCAACATGGTTATCCATTATCAGCCTATTATCCAAGGCAGTAGGAGGAAGATGTTAGGTGGAACTGAGCTGTCAACCCAAACATCTCGGTTAGTCACTTGATCAGTGACTTTTCCTAAAGGTACATGTGGCAGCTATTGCATTAAGGAGTCAAGTCAAGTTGGATTCTAGGAGGATTTTTTGAGTATTTGCTAGGACACCTAAGAAGACTTTAAACTTATGTGGTGATCACTAATATATAATCCTACGTTCCCCTGATTCATAAAGATTCCCATGTTAAGTGAGTCTTTCCTTTTCTTCTACTGTGTTTTGGAAATCGCAGAATTTAGAGGCTTTGGAGGTATTTTTGTTATTGCCCTGCCCTCAGGAAGGATGAAAATCGACTGTCTTTATAAAGCCCTTCATTGCTAGAGAGACCGTGGGGAGACAGAGGCCCTGGAGGTTGAAAGATTGTGAGGAGAAAGAGCTTATTTATGATATGGAAATTATTTTTCATTTCTGAATTAGTGGAATTCTTCACTGACTGCATTAGATGTGCCAGGAGAAGAGTGGAATGTGTTATGGGAAGTGGTCTCTTCTTTTCTTGCACAAATCTTCTTCCAAATTTACGCTTTGAACTTAATAAGATGCCTTTATCCAAGCTCTAAAGATATATGGATATCAGACATCAACAAAATCTCCTAAGATTCTACAGGCCAGTTCAGTCTCCGCCCCTCTTCCCTTCTTCTTTTTAATCTTACTCCAGCCCACCAAAGGGCCATGAGACATAAAGAGGGACCCAATATTTGGAACAAATACAGCCTGGGAGGGCTGTTTGCAAAGAAGGAACCCAGCTTCCTCTCTGGTTTTAGTGATATCCTTGGTTTTCTTGTCACACAAACAATCTCCATCTCATCACCTCCTTGTTCTGGAAACTTGAGTGTTTGAATCTCTTGCTGCTCAAAAATCTGCAGAGGGTTAAAGTGACTTGTTAAATTCTTCTGAGTTTTTTCCTGTGTTCCACTTGCATTGGATTTACTTTTTCTAATTTTTAGCCTTGACCTGATTATTGCCTCCCCTTTGTGTCAACTAACAACTTGAAAAAACACAGAGGTCTTTCTGTAGAATCTGTAAAAGAGTGAATATCCGGTGTTGTATAAATGACTCCAACCTAGGTTTCTAGAGTCTTGCATTCATTCACACCTGTGCTGTTTTCTACACAACTGACATTTACATTCCCAGTGCTTGTATTTCATTACATAAAATGGGAATTTTATCTTTATATATAAACCAGCATTTATGGACTATTCACTTTATTCCTGAAACTGTGTCAATCACAGAGTATATTAAGATACATGAAATGTGGTCTTGATCCCCAAGTAGCTTATGGAAAAATAGAGAAACTAAACATGTGATAGAAGTAATAACACTTGTATGAACATAGTTTTATGGGAGTTCAGGGGATGGAGGAAGTTACTTTCCCTGATGTGTCCAGGAAGGCTTCCAGAAGGAGGTTCTATCTGAGCAGGGCTGTGAGGATGAACAGGGATTTGCTGGGGCATTAGGGAAAGGATGGGCATTCTAGACAAGGGATTGGTGTGGAAAAGCACACAAAGGTGGGGAAGGCCTGAGTGTAAGAGATAGATGTTAAATCCCTGGACCAGCTTCTAAATGAGAAAAGTGGGAATTAGACTCTTGAC